AACAAGAACATTGCTTTGAGGACCCAAGCCTGCTCACCACTTTTTCTCAGTAGTACTTGTATAAGCAATACTCCTGATGTTAATGTGATTATCTAAAGGCAGAAGGAATACTCATACAAATAAAGGCTGGGATTTATGCCTAGTAATCTGTCTAATCTGGCACTCTCTCTCCTTCAGCTGCACTAGATGTTTTCCAGCAGAAGACTCTTAAATAATATTTCCATAATACACTGATATCCTGGGGGAAATTCTCTCATAGCTTACAAAATCAGTTTCCTGAGACATGAGTATTCATCAAGTTCTGTGCAGAAGGAGCAGAAGGATCCCAGGGGAAAAGTGCACCATCAGGAGGGTTGTAGTTTAGTCTAAGGGGTCCCTTTCTAAGTGCCAATACTATGAGGATTGTCCTAAACCTGTATGTATATCCTCAGTAGGGTACAATGCAGTGTTAGGGATCTAAGGTTCAGGTTTCACTGAAGTAAGAGAACCCTGAGACATCACCTTCAAAAAATAAAATATAAACTCCTACCAACATCGCATTTACCCCTGCATACCTGCAGACACAAAATTAGAGCCCTGAAAAGAACACAAGGGATGTCCTGTGGGTTAGGCCAACATCCAGCTCTCCCCAGTATCCTTTCTTTAATAACAAAAGATACTATTTAAAGAGAACATGCAAGCCAGGCATATACATTTCCTATATTCACCTCCAGCACCCACAATCACTGTATTAGGGCTGCTAAGGAGCATATCGCTACTCATTCTTTCTAGCATCTCTTTATGAACATGCAGCCCATTTAATTTTTTTGTCTCCTTTCCAATGTGCTGACCTATTTGCTTCCCAAACCTCTGCTGGCAGAGAATTTCACAGGTTCATTATACCTGCTACATAAAAAAAAGAGTATATTCCCTTTTATCTTTTCTAAGCCAATCCCCTGCTGGTTTCAACGACTGCCCCTAGTTCTAGCTCTGAACAACCTTTATTCATTCTACCCACTGCCTTGATTTTATAAATACTGATCACATTCACTGTCTCCAAACTGAGGTTCATGCTGTGGGCAGCCTCACTCCCTTCTATCTGACCACTGAGAATATGGGATGTGGGTTTGAGTGGGACTGTCCCTCCACCTTTCACTTCCCTCGTCAACATGTGAGCAAGAATCAGCTCTAAGGATCAGAGTTCAGACTGCAGTTCCAGAACAGAAATGTCAGCAGTAGCTAAATTTTCTGATGATTTATCATCATGGTTCAGTACACAGTTCACTGAATGCCAGACATGGTTCAAGGAAGTGACTGAGAATGGGGAGATCAGCAGTTGAAATCAGTTATTGCAAAATCACAGCCTGAACCACCCTCTGTGTACCCCATAAAAGCTAGGATCTCACAGACCTCTTCCTTCTGGGAGGGATTTTGTATCTTACTTTCCCTTCTTTTTAGTGTGAGACTGATCTGAAGGATGCCTATGATGTGGATACTCCTGTCCACAAGCTTGCCCATACTTGACCTGAACAAGGTCCAGCCAGCTCATGCTCCTGTGTCAATCAACAGCCATGGGCAAAAGAGAAAGAGCAAGAACAGTGGGCATGAATTGGTATCTAGGAAAGAGTAAGGACAGGGCACATATATATGAACTTCCATCCTAAAACTTCCCTAGCTTCAAACTATTTTTCAGCCCAGGAAGCTGCTTTGAGGCATATATAGGTTTTAGGTAAGACTCAATGCATCTGGAAAACCTGGAGAGGGCAAGAGATCCTGTGCCTCTGTCCTTCAGTGAGCTGTTGTCTGGAAAACTCTTGTCTCTCAGTATGTGCAGCAGAAAAGAAATCCTTCTGTACCAAGCACATAGTAGTGAGAGGTATAAGAGATCTGATATCTTTCATACGATGACAAATATCAGTGAAAGGGTCTGAAAATATATACACACAAAAATTCCTCTTTCGACCCAAGAAACTTTCATTCTCATGAGTTATTTTCAATCAGCTGAAAACACCACACAATGACAAACAAGCCACTCCAAATATCTTTGAAATCCCCTGGGATTTCACTCTAAATTCCTGAACCACTTTAAAATCCACATATTCACTAAAAAGATGGGAAATTTGGGATATCTCAGAAGCAGAGCACAGCTAGTGGTCCTAATCTGGATTTAGTTAGACCGAGGGCTCCCGGGATACTGAAGAGGAAAACCTCCATTTCTTCAGAAGATGAAGTCTATCAGCTTTTGAGAACTTAGCTAGGAAAACCAAATCACTACACTGAGCAGAACCCAAGGCAGTTTAATCACTCGCTCTTAACACCAGTTACAGCCTTTTGACTATGCCTGATGGGCAGAAACAGTTTTACATATGCTCTCCCAAATCACTGCATATCACAACCCAATTCTTGCATTTAGTTCCTATTAATCTCTTCACTATTACATGTAGCTAGAACTTAATTCCTCTGAAGACCTCAGGCTAAAATTGTGGATATTGTCAGTTCCCAAGGCCCACAGCAAGGTTTCTGTGGGCATGTACCTTTTTCAGTGTTCGCTGGACTCAGTGTCAGGGAAGATTCCTGAGATACCACTGACCAGCCATAACTCTGAGTTGCATTTCACTGAATTTACCAAGAATTTCAGACGGTGCCATACCATAATGCTTTCTTGCATTTCAGGCAAAGTTCCCTGACAAGTCAAAGAAAATGCACAGCTCCAGGTAATCTCACCCTTTTTTGCAGATGCCTGCAGAGGCTCTCCCCAGCCTCCCATCCAGTCATGCAATCCCAGCTCTTCCTTTGTGCCCTGACGCTTTGTAGGCCCTCCTGAATTAGCTAATTGAAACAAATGACTGATTGAATGAATTCAGCAGAAAGTGATGCATTTTTCTGCCTGGTTATGTTTTTGCTGGGCTACTGAGTTGACTCAGTCGATGAGGACTGGGAGAGAAGGAGCAAAACTCAAAAATTACTGCACCAAATAAGGGACCGAAAAGCAAAACTGGAAATTAAGAGGACCTTTTGGCAGCAGTGAGCTTTTAAATTTGAGCACTATCTCCCATGAAATCACTGCCCAAGGACCCATCTCTTTTTCCTTTGCAGGCTTTGCAGTCCCTGTTCATATGTTTAGTTCATATAAAAGGTCTTAGTTTATGTGGCTGCCGGTCAGATTACTTTATGGTTATTATAAAAAGCAGTATCTCTGCCTTTTACTATTTGATTGATGATTCTGAATCCAAGTTTTCATAATAAATTTTCAAGCAAGTGACACCTCAGGACTCCAGGGTAAAGTCAGTCCAACAGGTTGTACATTGCTCTCCTTACCCTTTGAAAACAACCTTCTGTTCCTTTAACACCACTATCCTCATTGCTTCTCTACCTATGTGTGTGCAGATACAAAAGCTTGCAGAATTTAACAGTCACTGTTTTGTACTGGAAGGTAACTGACTTCTTCCTTAATTAACTACAGATTATTAAACCTGAAGCCTCTGAATCTGCATTTTAGAAACTATATTTTGTCTCCTCTTCCTTTTCCATGGTCAAACCCAAGGAAGATAACAATCTTTGCATTTAAATCTTCTGGAACTACAGCTGTCTCAGGGTGCTTAGCTGCTCCTTTTCCCTACCCTCAGGATCTTTTCTTCTGTGTCTGCGATTTCAGAGACACCCTCCCGTTTCACATTATGTTCTGAGATAGCAGTTAGCACTAACTCCTAACTGGAGCTTACAACTCTGAGCAGCCTTTAGCGTTAATAAAGGAAGACTAACAAAAAAACACAGACAGCTTACAGCAGAGAGAGGTCTTTGATATGTTTCACTCTGCCAAGGTCCTGTCCAATCACAGGTAGCCTCAGCAAAAATGTCTCAGGGGAGGGAGACGGGCTGCGTTACAACTCCCTTAGAGGCTTCTTATTCTAGACACAGTATAAGCAAAGCAAGGCACAAGCTCAGCCTTTCTCAGGAGAGAGTGCATACATTCAGATGTAATGTAAGTGGGGCTAACACAAGGTCACACACGATCAACATATGTGGAAATTTCTGGGGACTGGGCTGTGCAATTTTAAGAAGCCTCCGCTTAACATTTCTAGCCTTTTTCTCTTCAGGTCACATTTTCATGAAGATGAAAAAACATATCCCTGAAACTTAAGCAATTTGCTTGCCAAATTTGAAAGCTGTTTTTGCAAAGCAGAGAGATGCTAGAGGCTGTTCAGTGAGATGCTTATGTTTATAATGGACAAAACTGTGTATTCTCCCCTAAATTCATCCTTGTAGTTGGCTCGATTGTTGCAAATGGAACTTTCCAAAACCAAAGCAAACAAATCATAATACAAAACAAAATAACCAAAACAAACTAAAACAAAACAGCTGGAAGTAGACACCCAACAGGGAAATTTCAGTTCAGATCGGCAGTTACAAGCAAACGAAAACTAGACTCGAAAGCACATAGCAACAGTAACACTAGCTTTGCTGCTAGCTCTCTTACATTTCACTGTTAGGACTGAGGGGTTTGATTTGTCATGCTACCAACAAACTAATTTAATGAATTCTCCTACAGTTAAAATCTTCCCACCTCTGCTGTTAAATACAGCAACCATTTCACATCAGAGAATAGTTAAGTAACAGCTTATGGAGAACAGTACCAAATATCTTCATAACTGAAAATGGAAGAGAACATAACAAGCAGCATATAATTATGTGAATTCCAATTTAGCTCAGACTTCAGGGTTATCCAGTCTACTTAAGTGAGAGTATCACTGAATCAGTAACCACAGCTGGTCACTATCCTAGAGGTGCCAAAAGACACAGTATTTCTTCTGCTTTGGAACCCTCTCAAATAGAGTTGCATGGTTCTACTCCATCTAATCCACTATTTATTTTACTGTGCTTTTTAAGAGCCGCAAGTCTCGGAATACTTCATAAAGAAATACAAGATTGCTGGATTTCAGCTTATGAATCCACTTTCTGTTAGCATTTTGGAGCTGTCCTGCCCTCAAGTGTCCTGTATTTGTTTTCCAGAGTTGCTTTACCTTCAGTGTTCCTTCTCACAAACACTAGTCAGATGAGAAGGGTTCTGTTTTCCACCAAGCAGACAGACTTGGAAGCTCACGTGCAGTGGGTTTGTATCAGAGCAGTTAAACACTAACAGGAAAAAAACAAATGGAACGTTAGGACTGGAAATTAAATGCATTAACCCTAATGAGAACACTAATTTGCTTTCCAGCTACCTCTTTGGAGCGGAAAACTCCCACACCTTTAAGCAAAGAAACCTAAAGGAAACACAGGATTTTGGCAGAGATTTTCAAATGACCCCTGAAGAAGGCAGGTATCCAAGTCCCATCACAAGGCATTGTAAGTCTCTCCCTGTTGTGGCCATGTTTATGCTCAATCTGTTTGTGGGAACAAGGGAAGTGTGGGGCATGTCACAGATAGGCACCCCTGAATTACTGCTGAAGAACACGTCCTGCAGGGGTCAAGAATGGCTCACTTGAGAGAAACCTAAAGAAACACTGCGGAGAGTGACAAAATATGGACAAAAATAGCTTGTAGTGGAACAGGTCCAGCAAACAGGGCTAGCAGACAAGAAGTCAGGGTGTTAAAAAAACTACGTCAAGCAATTTCATAAACTAGCTACGTGTATAGTATCAGGGGCTGTGCCTGCTGTTTCCCCTGATAAACACGTACCAGCATTCAGCCTATGTGCCTGCTCACCTGACTTCATGCAGACAGCTCTCAGAGTTTCAAAAGATGCAGGTGAGGAGAGAGAGAGGAACCTGTGAGGGTCAGAGGGGTGCCTGGCACAGCAGTGAGTGCTCATCACTGGGTCACAGGGTGTCTGTGACGTGCTGCAGGCAGCACACCCTCACCCTGGTCTCCATGGGATGGGTGCCCTTTGGAGACAAGCAGCTCTGCAGACATAACTCTTCCATCCCAAACATCCATCATGAGTTCTTCCATCCCAAACATGGCAAGGGGGGGGGGGGGGGGGTGTTGGGCTTCAAAGAGTAAAATAAGCCTCAGATCTTTCCGTTGCCTGAAGGGCTGGATCAGGAGTGTCAACAGGCAGGAGATGCCCCCCATGAGCAGAGGAGCCCCAGCAATCACAGTGCACAGCCACACTGCCCTGCGCCAGCACAGCCCCATCTCACAGAATCATAGAATTGTTAGGGTTGGAAGGGACCTCTGGAGTTCATCTAGTCCAAGGCAGGGTCACCTAGAGCAGGTGACACAGGAATGTGTTCAGCTTGGTTTTGAATGTTTCCAAAAAGGGAAACTGCACAACCTTCCCGGGCAGCCTGTTCCAGTGGTCTGCCACCCTCAATGCAAAGAAGTTCTTCCTCAATATTGAGGTGAAACTTCTTGTGTTTTAGTTTATTGCTATTTAGTTTATTGCAATTGTTCCTTGTCCTGTTGCTGGGCACCACCGAAAACAGTCTGGCACCATCCTCTTGGCACCCGCCTTTGAGATATTTATATGCATTAGTGAGATCCCCTCTGTTTTCTCTTCTCTAGATTCAACAGGCCCAGCTCCAGCAGCCTCTTCTCATAAGAGAGATGCTCCAGGCCCCTCATCATCTTCGTGGCCTCCGCTGGACCCTCTCCTTGTCTTTCTTGTACTAAGGAGCCCAGAACTCCTGATGAAGCCTCACTAGGGCTGAGTAGAGGTCGAGGATCACTTCCCTCGACCTGCTGGCCACGCTCTTCCCAATGCACCCGAGGATACCATTTGCTTCCCGGCCGCGAGGGCACACTGCCGGCTCACCGACAACTTTTCACCCACCACTCGTCTCCCCGCGGCCCGGCCTCGCCAAGCGCCACCAGCCTCCGCTCCGCCAGCGGCGCTGCGGGCGGGCCGGGCCGCGGCGCCGCCATAACGGCGGCAGCGCCTCCCGAGGGACCGAGCCGGGGCTGGGCCAGCCAGACGGGACCGCGGCGCCACACGGTGCCCGCCGGGCGCGGGAGGCGGGGCTGGGGCAGGTCGGAGGGCGGCGGGACGAGGTACGGCGGGCGGCGGGGAGGATGAGCAGCGGCGGGGGCGGCCGAGGGCGAGCGGGGCATCGGCCTTGTCCCGGGGTCTCCACCGCGGAGAGCGGGAGAGCGAACGCGGGGCCAGGCGGGAGATGGAGGGGCCCGGCCGCGCTCTGCCGAGGGCCGTCTGCCCAGGTCCCGAAGGCCGGGCCGTGAACCTGGCCCCTGCCGCGTCAGACCTCGTTCTCGGGGGCGCCGTGGTCCCCGAACCCACCTTTTGCCCTGAGGGGGTTACAGCCGGCGGGGAGGGGGCTCGTTTCGAGTTGCTCGCTTTAATATTAAAGGCTGGAGGTGAAATGCTGAGTGTGCACTCTTTGCTGCCACCCTTTAACACTGTGATCAAGGACACACCTGCTCAGGTATAAAGAAAGATGCGCTTAATTAAGCGTACACTTTATCTGGGAGAAGGGGGGGAAAGATGCGCCCCAGACTGGTGGGAGAGGTCGGGGGCTGTCGGGCTGCAGTGCACTGCCCGGCACTGATGCCACTGATGCCTTCGCCCAGCTCAGCCGGAGGAGTAGGGACCGACGTCACAAGAGAAATTTAAATGCTTTATGGAGGACAGGAGCCTAACTTCTGACAGTCGTTAAAATGGAAAGGTGAAACAAAAGGGGCATAGACACAGAAAGGATAAAGATACTGTACGTATAGCTTCCCAAAACAGCCTAAGTTTCTGCCTGGAAACTTTGGGTAGACTGTGAAAATTCCTGGGTTTGCCTAGTGTTGCAGGGTCTATGACGTCCTGCTTGAAATGCACCAGGTGCAGTGTGCCTGAAAGGGCACTGAGCTGTGCACTCAGAAGACCTATATGTATCCGTAGTGTATGCCCAGATCGACCATGTGGCACAAGTGCAACAAAACCAATGCTTTGGATGATATCAAGCTTTTTGTTTCCATACATTTATTTTTGACTGGGAAAAATGCACGCCACACACATCCCAAAAAATCCCCTAATGGAAATACCAGGATAGTGGGGTGTAAGGAAGGGCAGCAGTCAGTGAAAAGATGGTACAATAGCCAACAGACATACCTTCTGAATGTTTTGGCATAGTAGTCAAACACGACTTAGATGAGTGTGTTGTTATTTAGAAACCTTTAAGTAATGATTTCATTTCTACCAGGAGGAAGGAATTTGTTTGCCTTCAGAATGTGTTTTCTCTTCCAGAGTTGGGACCATGGCTATTGACTGGATTGGTTTTGCATATGCTTCGTTGCTGGCTTTTGGAGGTGTTGTAGCATACACTCGTAAAGGTAAATGTTGAGGCAGCAGGATTTGGAAATGAAGCGTTTGAATTTCCTCTATGCAATGTGAGACATGAAAGTTTTGCTGTAATTAACACAACTGCGTGTTAAATCCGTGCTGCACTGCTGTAAATGCACTGAATCTCACAAGATGTTCTTGGGTCAGCTTAAGCATTTAAGTGGTAACTGATGAGTTTGTTTTCAGGGCAAAGAGGGGCTGTCATGTTATCTTTGACTTTGGTGTGTTTTGGACCTTCTCATTTCCTGTAGCTATTCCTGTGTTGAGCACAGTAGATGATCTTTGATTACAGCTTATTTTCTACGGGGACATCCAGGCTTGATTCTGACATTCCCAGAAAAACACTGGAAAGGACCGCTTTTACTTGCATACTCTGATTTGGTGGTTAATTCTCTCGTACTGTTAGAACTGTGTCTTTTCACTCTAAGATAAGGAGGCCGGTTTTACTATAAAGCGCGTTTTCGGTATTTCAGTGATTTTTGCAGTCCCCCAGGTGGCAGCGCCGTTCCCGAGCCCAGCACCCGGCAGAGGTCGCAGCGGTACCGAGGACGGGCAGGCGGGAGCTCCGGGCTGGTCCCGTCAGCTCTCCCACAAAGCCCCAGCAGCGCAGCGCTCTCCTTCCCTGTGGCCATAATCCGTCCCGATTCTTGTGATTTAAGAGTCACTGTTTCCCTACGTAGCGTGCGCATGCTTTGCTCTTAGAGACATGGCTTCACTCTGAAAACATTTGCTGTATTTTTGTGTTTACACCCAGCTGCACTCACTAACTATCCCATTCACCTGTTTTCTTCACTCTTGGTTGGTCAGGCCTTGTGACAGATTATTTTTTTATTGGTGATGATTTCCATTTTCCTGCAAAGTCTTGATTAAAAATATCCAAAATAACAGAATTGGGAGCTAAGTGACACCTGGGGGTCTGGATTCTTTATTTACAAACATTTTGGGATCAGCTTAATCCAAATAATGCCTGCTGATTCTATGCTTTTATAATATGGTACCAAGACAAATGTGTGCTCAGAAACCTAAATATATTACTGAAACTCTGGGATTTATGAACCCCTTTTGCAATAACACTGATAGAAGATGTCATGTTACTTTTGGAAGCTCTATTTTCATCCTCACTACCATCTAATTGGGTTTTTATTTTTTATTAATTAAATGTGATGTTGGTGATACCATTTTATTGTCCAGGACTGATGTCAGACTGAAAGGCCTTATGATGTTGGACATGTGTTGTCCAATTTACTCTTTATATATATTGACACATTTCTACCATTTTTGTAGGCTCCCAGGTGCTGTAAGATATAGTTAAAATGAACAGACAGTTCAGATAAATTACAAAAATCCTTCTAAAGGTATGTATGATAGAGATAATAGCTAAATTTAGGTTTGTACTTCAAGTATTATTTTTCCCAAATCACAGGTATTACTGGATCCTGATCATCTTACTCTAACTTAGTTGACTTTGCCCCTACTACCACACAGGAGAATGACCCAGTTACAGAAGTAATATTCTCTATTCACAGTGGGTGAGCTAGCTGGACTGTGGCAAAATCAGTTCTTTTTTTGAAATATTTGGATAATACTGTATATAGAGAGAACTGCTGTATAAAGATTGAGCTTAAAGACATTGTATTGAGAAATAACACTTGAATGGTTTCTTGCAGGTAGCAAAATCTCTTTAGCTGCTGGCCTCACCTTTGGTTCTGTGGCTGGTTATGGAGCTTACTGCGTAACATGTGATCCGAGAAATGTGAAGATATCATTGTGTAAGTGTTTTACTACAGTAAACAAACAAACAAACCAACAAGCAGTATCCTGAACTGCATGTAAAATTCTCTCTTCAGTAAATTTTGAGTATTGCTTTGGTTTAAATATTGGGTTTTAAATAGAGTTTGACACTTCAACTTAGCTTGCAAAATTCCAGACTTTAACTAGAACCATTTTCAAGGTAAGGCAGATCATTTACACAAAGCCAGCAGGTGTGTACCACCTGGCAGCACCTCCTTTTATTAGATGGTTACCTAACATTGCACATATTGTGAAATCCAGCTGAGAAACATGGGAAAGTACTGCAATTGAATCATTAGCTTTACAGATTAGAAAGTAATTTCAGCAGTAAAGTAGGTGTGGGATCCTGTCTTGCATAATGTAACCTATCCTCAGCCTCCAGTGAAACAAATACTTTGATTTAGTGTTTTTCCTTTGCTGCTAAGAAAGACAGAATACAAACTATGCAATAATTGTCATGTTAGCTAGTTTGCCATGAAACCCTCATGGACGCAAGAAACTACAGTTCCTAAAGGGGACATTGACCTTGCACAAGTGATCTGCAATAAGAGTGATTGGGAGCTTGTTGCACTCGTCGTTTTAGCAAAGGTGGCTTGGGCTGTGGTTTCACATGCAGAAATGCATTTAAAATTCATTTAATCCAGATTGTGTGAGTACACAATTGTTTTTTCTGAACTTAGAATTTATGGTATCCTGTTCATACTGGCTTTGTGCTTTACACCAATCACAGTTATAAAAATTTCCATTTCAAAAAAATGTTGAGTAGCATTGTTAGCAAATTGTTCCCACCAAGTTCTTTAATAAAAGTGATAGTGGTGTATCTGATCTGCTCCTAGATGACCTAAAACTGGATTTTTGGTTTTGCCACCATGACCCAGCCCAGATTAAGTTATGCCACTCTTAAAAAAAAAATAAATTTTTTTTGAATGAAGACATAGCCTGAAGTATGTGTAAATTTGTAATCATTCAGTGTGAGATGCTTTTAACTAGCATATGGAATTGTACTTTTATGGGTCAATTAAATCACTAATTTAGATACAGAAATTGTGGAAGAGGAGACTAATTAAAACTTACTAAATTTTGCCTGTTTCCCAATTCTTTGGTTTTGAAAGGACTAATACAAAATTTC